TATGCACACTTGCGTTGATGGTGACGAGGTTTTTTTTCTGACTGTGGCTGTTGTTGACGGCTCGCGCGAGAGGACGCGCACGGACCTTGTGTATTGGGTTTTGTTTATTGGTGACTCTCGCTGTGTGAACACCGAAACCGCCAGAGCATTTGCTGCTGGGTAATAAAGGATTTCAAAGTCAAGTCTCTTACTCTCTCTCTCTTTCTCTCTTACTCCCTCTCTCTTACTCTCTCGCCTGCTCTCTCTTACTCTCTCACTCTCTCCCTCTCTCTCTTACTCTCTCGCTTGCTCTCTCTTACTCTCTCACTCCCTCTTACTCTCTCTCTTACTCTATCTTACTCTCTCTTTCTCTCTCCCTCTTTCTCTCTCTCTTTCTCTCTTACTTCCTTTCTTACTCTCTCGCTTGCTCTCTCGTTCATGCGCAAAGAGCGCCACTCTGGAGGATGTCAAGGACCCCCTCCTCTCCCCTCCCCTTCCCTCCCGCGCCACCTTCGCAACTTTCGGAAACATTTGAGACCTCCACGCCGTTCGGTGCATCGTGAGTTTCATGAGCGAGGAAAAGGATCGCTGCGAGGGGCGTGTTGGAGCACTACGCCAGGACCGCGCCGGCCATGCCGCCACCGCACGCCAAACAAGCAGCACGTGGCGGGCGGCCCGTAAACGCAGCGCGGAGCTGCACAGCAAAATCAAAGATCCCCCGTGTAGCCTTTAAAAGGCTGTTGGGGCAAGTGCTGTTTGCGAGTAGCGCCTATGAAAGCCGTCACGCCAATTGAGGGGGTGGGTGGCCAGCACCATGCCCGCACCAGGTACTCATTTGAGGCCGAGTCAACCTAGGAGAGGCCCAAGACGTGTTCAAATATTTATCGCCGTTATTGCTCGCGAGCGGGAATTGAACTCTGGCGGCTGGTTTGGTAACTCGCTGCGCTCACGGCTGCGCCGCTGCTCCCCAGAGTCGTGCTTCAGGACGTCCGCGGCGACGGCATCGTTGATGTGCACGGCCGCGCCTCGTACCGTCCGCGTAGGGTACGGGCGGCAGAGTAAATTGTGCCAATCTCGGAGGATTGGGCCACCGCTGCTCTGATGGGCGAATTCATATTACGAGTACGCAGAAATTGACTGCGATGCGTGGGCGTGCGGGCGCGTGATTTGTTTTGGACCCTTGTTTTTGAGATTCGCCGCGGAGGCATAAACCCCGGCGCTGCAGGGCGCCCCTAAAACGAGCGGTGGCCTCCAGCCGAGAGCCACGAGTGTCGAGCGAGGATTAACGAGTCCGAGGCGCCGCATGTTTCGTAATCGCCGAATCTTGTGGAGCGCTTCAGTGGCCTCGGCAGTTGAGCGCTCTCGGTGCAGGGGCTGGGAGGCAGGTGGGCCCCCCCTCTACCCCATACTCCATTGGGTGGTGGTGGTGGGGGGGGAGGTGCCGTTGAGACTCGGATGACTACTTAATTTTGCCATGGCCAGGATGAGTGTGTGCGTGTCCGAGTGTGTGTGTGTGTGTAGGCAGTTGGAGTGCCATGGTTGGCACCACCAACCCGGACGTCCGAGGTTCACGGGTAATGTCAGTGGCGAAGTCACCGACCCAGCCAAATTGAAGCCTCGGTCTTACCTAGAGACCCCATCAATTGGGGTTGAGACCCAGAGCCTTGCATGAACTCACGTCGACACACGGAGACCGAGATGCATCGTCTCACACAGGGCTTCATTTCTTGTCAAATGTTTTCTGGGTCACCGCTTCCGTATCACTCTTGTAACGCTAGAACCACAATCATTTACTGTTTCCGTGAGCTTCACTCGTTGATTCCTCGAATCGTGTTGAGGTCTCGGTCTACCAGACACCGTGTCATCTCATCCACCACACTGCACGTCACAATAACGCACTCGCCCACTCATTCGCACAGTCACCCACTCGCTCACTCAACCACCCACTCACCACACTGCCTCATCTCTCGCACTGCTCCACTTTGGAATCCCCTCCTTCCATCATTATCTCTTTTCTCAAGCTCTGATAATCACCTTACTCCATTCAAGGACCGTGTTGCACTCATAATTCACAACTTCGGAAGTGCAGGTTTTTTCTTGCCGGCCGTTAGACCTTTTGGGCTTCTGGCTCTGTGCTCAGCATTATGGAGTCGGATGGCACCACGACCAGCAGCCTCAACCGTAGAGAGAGGCATCCTGGATGTGTGTTGCGCTGGGCGTGGATATATTTTTGGTGTTACCAAACCCGCACCAACCGTGACAGACCTGGCTGACTGCGGCTCTCTGCTCTGCAGAAGATGAACGGAAACCTAACGAGCAGGCTCCGCTCCAAGTCTGCGCACGTTTCAATTAAGGAGCAACAACTTTAATTGCGTGTGTGTGTGCGCGCGCTTGCACATCGACAAAATAAATAAAAAACGTGCACCGTGAGGTTTATGAGCGAGCGAGCGGATCAAACTTCTCGCGGCTCGAGTGGGTGGCGGTAAATCGCGGCAGAGCAGACATTTCATCTGACGGGGAAGCGTGTACCGTGGTGGGGGGACGGGGAGGTGGGGAGACTTAATTGCTCTTTAATCTCAGCTCATTGATTAAATGCTCAGCCGCGCCGCCCGCCGCCGTCGGCAGAGGCGGCCGCGGCGGCCGCGGCGGCGTCTCCCGCTGGGGCGCTCGTCGGAGCACCGCGCCTGTGTGGCGCCGCCACACGACCTGTGACCCCGCTCGGCCAATCGGAAGCTTGTTTTTATCCCGGAGAAATCCGATGAGCTTTGAAGCTCTTTTTCACAGAAAGTTCAGTAATTTCACAGATGCCCCTAGTAGGTCGGTGGCTGCTTCTGGGGATTTGCGCTCTTTGTTATAAACGATTAAAATGTTTGGGGGATGTTGTTGTCGTTGTTGATATGAGTGCATTGTTCTGCCACACGATCTGGACGCCGGGTAGAATAGTGAAGCGCCTTGCAGCTCATCTAAACCACTCACTGCCCTGCTGCAGTCTGGCCGAGTGGAGCAATTGGGCACAATTGGACCGTCATGGCGGCACACGTTGCCTCATCCTTTCCCAATGACGTCACAGCATCTTTCTTCTCCGCTGTGCAGCGGGACGGCACGTCGCACCTCTCGGTTCTTACGTGAAGCTACACTCGAGTTTTACTTTACTGTGCAAAGCCCACTGAGCTGTCAATTCTTCCTCGCCCCCGCGGCGCCCCGTTAATTAACCAAGGCGGCCGCCGGCCTCGAACCGCAAACCTCCACGATGAGCGACTGCCCGGCCCTGTCGCCGCGATGATGTCATCTGTGTGACGGCACCGCGGACGATGCCACCCGCACCCCGCTCACCACCCCAGCTCCGCCCGCTCAAAGCTCCGCTTCCGTTGACTGGCAGCTGCGGTAATTGCTTCCGAACATCATCAGCGGTGGTAACGGCACAGCCCCGCAATCCCCTGCTCACACCACTGCTGGCGGGAAGGAGCCTGCACGAGAGGGGGCCCTATCGGGCCCCTCTCTCGGGGTTATTTTGGCCTACTCTGTGGTACAACCATTTAGGCGTAGGGATTTAATAAACATGTCCATATATATACATACATACAGATACACATACAGAGAAATATATACATACAGAAACATTTACACATACGGATACATATATACATACGGATAAATATATACATACAGATACGGAAACATACACACAGAATTTCTCAATCAATATTTTGTGGGTTGCTAGTTGGTGACGGAGTAGCCATGGCCAGAGCGATTGCGCCACTTGATGTGGTGTGCCGGGTGCGGAAACATTTTCCCGGCTCGCCCACCCTGGACAGACGCGGCTGAGATTAAGCGGCAGAGTGATGGGAGGGGGAGCGGAGATTTGGAAAACTTTCTTCCAGAAGTCCATCGAGAAATCATGGTGATTGAAGAAGGAGAGGTGGGTGGGGGGGGGGCACGGGGAAGGAGGAAGAGGAAATTCGTTTTTGATTTCACAGAATAATTTGCGCTAAATTGCACGTCCGCTCAAGTGACGCGCGTGTGACCGAGTGAAGGCTCGGATGAGTTAAAGTTTTCCTCGCTTGCGCCGTAATTTAATTAAACCTGACCCCAGCACTCCCCAGGTAATTGAGCGCACGTCAGGTGCAAAATTGCTTTGTGTTTCCCACTTTGATTAACGAAAAGTTCAGCGTTGTACGATTAACGCCACGTGCTCTCGCGCCCTCGCTGCGCAAACATCACGGCGTTGATCCCCAGCCGAGGCAAATGCATAACCCCCCCCCCCCTCACTCTCCCGCTCTCTCTCTCTAGCTCACCACCGCTCTTACTCTTCCACGCTCTCTCGAGCTCACCAACACTCTCCCCATTCAACCCCTCACCGCACTTAGCGCGGTTGAATATGTACAGTGCGAAAGAAGTTCGACATAAATACATCACAATACATACACTCCCTCCCCCTCACTCGCCCTCTCTCCCTCTTCTGTTCTCCCCTCTCTCCCCTCGTGTTCTCCATCGTTTTCCCTCCAGCCCCCCTCGCTCCCCCATGCCAGGCCCCGCAGACGATGTCGACGATGTCGACGATGTTGACAATGATGTTGACGATTATGATGGTGTTGACGATGTTGACGATGATGTTGACGATCAACGGTGCTCGGGGGTAGGACTGCGTGCAATTGCTCGGCACCACGTCCAACGTTTCACCTCGCCTGCCCCGGGGAGTTTGTTCTTGACGAGCTGAATTCGGTTCAGTTGGCGGTGGCCGCGGCGGTCTCGCCCGAGACAACAATAACGGCGAGAGCGGCGGAGTACTTTGCGACGGGGCGAACCTCGCCAAGGGGAGACGTCGCTCCACAGGCACAGCCTGGGATCGTTTCTCAGTGGGGGGGGGGGTCGAGCGGAGGGGCGGGTGGCGCGACGACGGCTGCCGTGCGATCCCAATCGAGCAAACTCACGAGGGTCGTCATCCAAAGTTGACGGCGGGAAGGGACGCTCGCGTCGAGCGGCGGCACTGACGGCGAGGGCGGCGACCTTTGTTTGCGCAGAGCCGACGCGGGCGCCGGGCCAGCTGGAGGTGTACAACGTGAAGCCGCGCCAGCTCAGCGTCGAGTGGGAGGCGCTGGGCTACAACGTGACGCGCTGCTACCGCTACAACATCACGGCGCGCTACCGCTACGCCCGGCAAGCCGGCACCGGCACCACCGCCCTCGGCGCGCACGCGGAGGTAATGCCGGCGGCTTCCCGCCACGGTGGTGGTGCTGGTCAGTGAGTGTGTTGAGGTTGGTGGTTTAGAGTGAGTGAAGTGGGTGGGCTGCTGTGGTGGGGGCGGTGATTGAGGCGAATGAGTTTGGTGGTCGTGGTGAGATGGTACCGTTGATGGCGATGGTAGCCGTGGTGGTGCCAGCTGTGTGGAGATTGCTCCTGGCTGTGTCCCCCCCCCCCCACTACAGGAGGTGACACTGGAGGAGGTGTGGATGGGCTCCGATGACTCGGTGACGATGATGACCCTCCATGACCTCCCGCCCTTCACCAACGTGAGCCTGCGCCTCGTCCTCTCGAACTCCGAGGGCCGGAAGCAGAGCGAGGAGATCACCGCGCAGACCACGGAGGACGGTACGCTCCTTCCTTCTCATCCCTCCTTCACATCCTTTCTTCTTCCTCCTCCTCCCTCCCTCCTGCTGGGTGGTTTGCTGCAGAATAGCAGACTTGTTGTAGGTGAGCATTGAGTCGTCCACACTCTGGACGGCTTCTCTACCTCCTCGGAAGGAGCGGGGGAGGCGCACGGATTGACGAGGTGGTCCGTCGTTTGTGGGGTGCGACGCTGCTGCTGCTGCTGTTGCTGCTGCTGATGATCTCAAATTCCGCGTCTTGGCCAGACGTTCGCTCTATTTGTTTGTTAATTAAATCTGACCACGGGGGAAACGTGGCGTCGCCGTGTGTGTGCCTGGCAGTGCCGAGCCCGGTGGCCCTGCAGTCGTTGAAGGCGCAGAGCTTCGAGGAGAAGCTGCAGGTGCAGTGGGGGGAGCCCAGCGAGAGCAACGGGGTGATCACGCTCTACGAGGTGAGGCCCCCCTCGCCCCCCCGGCCCCCCTCTTGGCCCTCGCGCCCCCCCCCCCACCCCCCGCCCACGGAGCGACATTGGCGCTCGTGCCAGGAATCGTCCCGCGACCGGGACGTCGCCGCGTCGCTTGCGCCAGGCTAGGTGCGCTTTGAGGTCGTCACGTGACGTTTGGAAGGCTCGCTGCTGGCAGGAGGTCACGGGACGGACCCGCGTACCATGCGTGGACTGACTTGAGGTGACTGTGGCAGACGCCACCAACTGCGCTCCCCTCTGTGCCAATCAAATTAGCGAAGGGCCGTGCCGCACGCGCTGCGTGCAGCACGGCACCACTGGTGCCACGCCCTGCCGGTTCGTGTCTGAGTGTCCGTGTGACGATTCCCCAGCTCACGTCGTGCATCTTGCTCTGCAGCTCGCATCGTAGCCAACCAATTCATGGGAGGCTACATACGGTGCAAAGGAAGTTCAACATACACCAAAGGTTCCGTCGTCATCAATACCATCGTCATCATCATTATCGTCGTGGTTATCAGCAGCAGCCATGATCCATATACCGCTCTCCAAAGACTGCACTCAAAAATAACATCAGCATTTGGTTGTGGCCCTCATTCCAGCTTTTAGAAGTAATATCGGTGATGTGATGAAAGTTACTGTCGGTGGTAAGAGCGGGTGGAAAAGTGGTACCCCGTAGCACGTGCACCAGCGATATCGGAGGCGGCTCTGTGATGTCCGCTTCCGTGGACCGTCCTCTTCACACGGTGGTGCCGTGCTGCTCTGCGAGAGCTCATCACGGATTCTCGGTCATAAAACTGTGGGGGGAAAAGACCAAAAAAAATTGAAACCTCAATTTATTTGGCCAAGAAGGCGACGTAGCCAGCGGGGTGCAGACCGAGAGGATGATTGACCTCGGTGGTAGCCTTGCCCCGGGGGGGGGCGTTGGGATCACCACGGACATCGCAGCCGTGAGTGGTTGCAGCGAGCGCGTCATTCCTGCGATCAATGAACTCAAATGTGATTTTATTTCGCTGATTTAAACCGGCGGTGGCCCACCTCGTTATTTATTAACGCCCTGGTTCACGACCCCCGGGTGGGGGAGGGTAGGAGGGGTGGGGGGGGGGTCGTGACCCACAGTTACAACCATGTCACTTATCCGGTGACGTAGGATCACTGAGACTCGAGACTCGTTTTCAGGAGGGTCCTGCCAATCCTCTTTTGAATGAGCTCATCAATGCTGGTTGTACAACTCAAGAGGAGAGCTCACGTAGTGAGTCGGTTATGAATTAACTCGGTAAATTGACTGAAACCTGTAATTTATAAAATTGTTTGTGGTCGTTACTCAGACCTCTTTGAAAATAGTTCCACACCCCCCGCATCCTGCCTTCTGAAGGTGGGAAACCCCGGACTAGTCATGCCCAGGACATGGCTGATGATGACATTCCCAAGTCCCGCCCATCATCACCTCCCGTCCAGCGGCATGCGTTGAAACGGAATTGGGCCTTTTATTAAAACCAACACATTTTGCACTCTCTGATTGTTCGAGTGATCAAGCCGATAATCGTTCCTTAAATGTTTAATTGGATGGCCCCATTGTGCCCCAAGGTGGCGCAATGTGAAACAAACACATCGGTGGCGAGATGGGCTGCGGATGGGTTAAAGTGCGGGGGGGGGGGGGGTGGCGGGGAGGGGAGGGGGGGAGGCTTGCTTTCCCCCGGGCGAGCCGGGGCTCAGGATAACAGGGGGGGGGAGGGGGGTGGAGGGGGGCCGATGCCGCTCTCCGTGCGGTGCCGGTCGCTCCGAGTGGAGGCGACACGCCGCGGCCGTGCCGGAGCGGGGAGGCGCGCGCCATCAATCGCGATGCGCGGTGACAGCAGAAAAATAGTGATCCGCGAGCACCCCGGGTGGGACACGCGTGGACCCACAGACACGCGCACGTGCTCGCAATACGCGCTCGCGCGCGCCACGCGTCATTTGGGTTTCGTGGCGAGCGCAGGCTGTGCACGCGCGCAAACACGCGGTCACAATCTCACACTTGGCCGCGCGTGTGTAATCTAGCCGGGTATTACTGCCCGGGCAAACATGCTGGGTGGCCGGAGTTTTCATATTTCCCCCCTCACGCCTGAAAAATGAATCATCACGGGGGCATTGCTGCACGCTCGCACGCACACGGTCTCACGCATACATACACGCTCGCACAGACACGCGCACACGCTCGCACGCACACGGTCTCACGCATACATACACGCTCGCACAGACACGCGCACACGCTCGCGCGCTGTCACATGTACACGCTCTCACGCGTGCACCCACACACACTCGCATATGTGCTCACACACTAAACAAAATATGTATAAAAAACTATTTTTATTTCACTAGGTTGAGGTGTACTAAGCTGTACAGCTCTTTTCCTGAAGCGACCTGGCTATCACGAATGATACCTCAACGAAGTGGCTTGTCGCGTGGAAATGTATAGCAACCAAATCAAACCCACGACCTCCTGCATACCAAGTGAGGGATATAACATCTCACCACTGCGGCGCCCCAAACGCCCATTCAGTCGCTCGCACGCACGGCCACGCAACTTTTACCACCGATCAGCTTTCCCAATGGCACCCTAAGCAGCCGTGAGATAATAAACCATAACGCGATTTTGCAATTACACATGCAGAGAGGAGGCCATTAATAGATCCGCCGCTCTCTCTTTCATTCTGATTAAACGAGCCTTGCATGGGGCATCAGCCATTAACGCTCAATCCAATCTCCCATCCGCGTAACGACGGGAGAGCAATCGTACCGGCAACAGCGCCAGCAACACCGCCCGGCGCTCCACCACGGTCGTGCGACCACGTGACCGCCGCACCACGGTCGTGCGACCACGTGACCGCCGCGCGCGTGACGACGCTCGTCACAACGTTCATTTCCTTAAAGCGCAATCCCCTCCCCCACCTCCGACACGCACGGGCGATCGATGATCCTCCTTCCTCCCCGTTCACGAAAACAACAGCGACAAACAAGAGATTCATTAGCGTTCACATAATACACCACGCCCCCCCCCCCGCCTCCCCAATGCTGGGCTGTAGTTAATGCCGTGAAGATCACGGCCAGGAATCCATACGCACAGTCGAAGCCACATCGACATTTTAATAGAGTATCGGCGCGGCCGCACACTCCGGAGCGCCGCGATGCAATGCCCCCCCCCCCACCCCCCCACCTCTCCGCCGCTTGGGAGGGATGACACGTTGGGAAGATGCCGCAGATCGTTCGTGCGGTGGCGTGGATATTTATTTATTTTAATAGTGTACATTTCTACTTGGGCGCTTGCGCGTCGGCCGGTAGGGAATTCTGTAACTCGGAGATAAATAATTAGTGCTGAGAGGGGTGGTGGTGGTGAGTGTGGTGAGGGGTGGTGGTGAGTGTGGTGAGAGGGGTGGTGGTGGTGAGTGTGGTGAGAGGGGTGGTGGTGGTGAGTGTGGTAAGAGGGGTGGGGGTGGTGAGTGTGGTGAGAGGGGTAGGGGTGGTGAGTGTGGTGAGAGGTGGTGGTGGTGAGTGTGGTGAGAGGGGTGGTGGTGGTGAGTGTGGTGAGAGGGGTGGTGGTGGTGAGTGTGGTGAGAGGGGGTGGTGGTGGTGAGTGTGGTGAGAGGGGTGGTGGTGGTGAGTGTGGTGAGAGGGGTGGTGGTGGTGAGTGTGGTGAGAGGGGTGGTGGTGGTGAGTGTGGTAAGAGGGGTGGGGGTGGTGAGTGTGGTGAGAGGGGTAGGGGTGGTGAGTGTGGTGAGGGGTGGTGGTGGTGAGTGTGGTGAGAGGGGTGGTGGTGGTGAGTGTGGTGAGAGGGGTGGTGGTGGTGAGTGTGGTGAGTGGGGTGGTGAGTGTGGTGAGAGGGGTGGGGGTGGTGAGTGTGGTGAGAGGGGTGGTGGTGGTGAGTGCGGTGAGAGGGGTGGTGGTGGTGAGTGTGGTGAGAGGGGTGGTGGTGAGTGTGGTGAGAGGGGTGGTGGTGGTGAGTGTGGTGAGGGGTGGTAGTGGTGAGTGTGGTGAGAGGGGTGCTGGTGGCAGTGATGAGGGTGGTGAACTTTGGCCACGATGTTCGCTGGGCAGCTCGTCAACTGGTGCCCATCATCGCGATGTCACCAGTGGAGAGTTACTCGGCCATGGGCACCGCTGGCACTCGAAATCCGGCCACGTGGCACAGTCCAGAAGTTGTCAACGCTGCCAGCACAATGAAATTAAATCATCTGTGCCATTGGTACTCGTGCCGTTCCTGTACCGCAAGGTTATGGGCAGAGGCTGACAGTTGGTTTGCGGCAGTTAACCTTCAATGTAATTTGCGGTTTGACTCTCTTTCGAATGACGCCACGGGATCTTTAACATCGACCGCACAGCAGGCGGCACGCGGTACGCACACTTAACGCTCCCCGCCGCCGTATTGACCAGGGGGATCGCTGGGTTTGAACCGCGGTCCACCGCAACGAGCGGGCAAATGCGGCACCATCGCTCATCGCCGTCGTCATCATTGTCCTCTCGTAGATTCCCTCGGAGTTCCTGGCACGCGCGCACGCACGCAAGTGCCCGTGCTCACACGTGCCCGAGCACACGCACGCCCTCGCCACGCGTTTGTCCTGGCGGGAGTCTTGGGTTTATTGCCATCGTCCAGACCCGTCATGAGCAATTACGCTCCTGGCAGAACACGGCGGTGGCGGCGACGGCGACGGCATCGCTGCCAGTCGTCGCGATGTGACGGATCGTCTTCCCGGTTTATGTTCCCGTTGCTGAGTGAACCTGTCGCCCCCCCCCCCCCCACCCCCGCGCGTGTGTTTTATGCACCGCGCCATAAAAATATATTTATATACGGGCCAAGAGTGAGAGTGGCTGTGGATCTGGCAATTACACTGCAACATTAATGTGGGAAATTAATTCAGAGCCCAAAGCTGCTTTAGGATTTTTTCGGTTCGTCACTAATTCCTGAGGATCGACGAGGCAGATTGAAGTGGCACCCTCAGGATTATTGGAGATCGACGCCAATTCTCATGGGGCCTTCGAGTCGGCATCGGGTGGATGTTCGGGGCTTAATGGGTCTAATGCCAAACAAACGCTCGTGAAATATTAATTTGCAAGGTACGGAGAGCCACACTAAGGCAGCTGCAGGAGTGTGAAACTCAAGTCTGAGATTGCAATCTTCCCCGTCTCCAGCCCCAGGCCACTTTCTCCAGCCCCGCCGCCTTGCCCGAGAATCACTTCGACTCCGGCCTGGCCAAGGTCTAGAGGCACCCATTTGTTTACGTGACAGAAACAGACGATTGCGGTGAACTTTTAAGATCGCTCGCTCACAGGCGTACTTCGTTGTGGACGCGCGCTACCATTGGTGGAACACGGGGGGAAGGGGTGCCGCGTTCATTCTAGCGCCAGGGCCCACGCCAACCGCCCTACGCCACTGGCCGGGTGCCGCGACGGTGCCAGACTTTCATTGTCCCGGTCTCTCCCCGGCCGTGCAGGTGTCGTACCGCGGCGTGTCCTCGTTCGACGGCGCGTTCGACGCCAGCAGCCACGGTGGGAAGGTTTACAAGTCGGGCGGCGAGCACCGGCACCTGTTTGTGGGGCTGCACCCGGGCACGCGATACGCCGTCACCGTGCGCGCCAGCACCAGCCGCGGCTTCGGGCTGCCCACCACCACTCACTTCAGCACCAACATCTCCGGTGAGCGCGGCGGAGGAGGCGGCGAGGGCCGAGCGGAGACGCGATCCAGAGGATGGTCGAGTGGTCGAGTGTTGGAACCGCCAATCGAGCCTTTAAGTAGTTCATTGGATGGCCCCACTCTGTGCCGAAGTGCGGCAACGCAAAGCGCGTGGGCGGCGAGTTTGGATGTGGATGTGTTAAAGCTCGGGGTGTGGGGAGGAAGAGGAGGGGCCCAAGGGTGTAGAGGGAAGGGGGGTGTTTTGGCTTCGCAACAAACAAACTCGCCTCCGGTGACAAACCTCACGCACTGGAGACGGCGGCTCGCTGCACGATGAGAGGAGGCGCGCCAGCCCGAGACATGGCGCTGCCAGCACCGCTCCCTGCCAACTCCATAGCAGTGACCTCACTTTCCTCCCCCCCCCCCCACCCCGGCAGCCCCATCCATGCCGGACTACGATTCGTCACGGCCGCTGGAGGAGACGGAGACGACGATCACCGTGCTTCTCAAGCCGGCCACTGCCAAGGGCGCGCCCGTCAGGTGTGTGCGTGTGGACATGCGTGTGTGTGTGCGTGTGTGCGTGTGTGCGGACGCGCGTGTGTGTGTGCGTGTGTGAATGCGGAGTGGTAGCTGGCACAGCAGTTGCACACTGCGCTACGAACCCAGTGAACACAGTTTGAGTCCCACTGGACTTCTCCTGGTGCGGTGTAATGTGCCGTTTGCACCCAGCATCTCGGCCCACCCTTTAACCTGAGCGCCGCGGCCCCCCCACCATCCCTCCCCCCCCAGCGTGTACCAGCTGGTGGTGGAGGAGACTGCGTCCCGGCGCCGGCGCAGCCACGAGCTCCCTCCTCTCCAGCGCCGGCGCCGGGCCCCGCGCCGCTCGGGCGGCTGCTTCTTGCGACCCACGGCCTACCCGTCGGGGCCCGACGGGGCCGATGCACCGGCGGGAGCGGCACCCCGGCACTACTTTGCCGCGGAGCTGCCCCCCGGCAGCCTGCAGGTGCCCACGCCCTTCACGGTGGGCGACAACGCCACGTACGGCTCGTTCTGGAACCCGCCGCTCGACCCCGGCAAGAGCTACGACGTCTACTTTCAGGCAGTCAGCGAGGCCGGCGGGGTGAGTGGGCGAGGTCCGCGGGGAGTTCACGGCGACATCCGCGTGCGATCCACCAACCCTCGCCGCTGCTTCCGCAGAGCGCCGGGCTGCAGGTGGCCACGTGCAGCATCCTAGCCATCGCCGCCGCTGCCCGGCTAAACGTAATGCCTTGCCGATCACCGTGCGTGAGCGTGGGTCGGCACGGCGGCCGTGGTGTGCGGATGGTCACTTAACAGGATCTCAGAAGTAGTTCCGTGTTATACATTTGCTCCCAACGCACGGAGGAGTTGCCACACTGTTGGCTTGATGTTGCGACGCCAACGGCTCCACGCGCACGCACGGCCCCTGTCGACCCCCTGCTGGATGAGGGCCTCGTCGGAGCGTGCGGGCCGTGGGGGATGCTGTTACCGCACGTTGCCGCCACGCTCACCGTGGGTTGCTGACGGCGGCGAGCGCGGCCGTGAGAGCAGCCGTGGGAGCAGCCGTGGGAGCGCCGGGGTGTGCGGCCGCGTCTAGGTGCGTGCGTGGCCGCGCGCCTTATGCGTGCGGTTGAGGGCAACCGGTGACTTCAGTGTTTGTGTGCCCCTTGCGCTCGCAGGAAGTGAAGATCGACTGCGTCAAGGTCGCTTCCAAAGGTTAGTTCGTGTGCCCATGTGCCCGTGTGTGCATGTGTGCGTGTGTGTGCGAGAGTCACGGTCCCTACCGTCGGCGCACCATCTGCCCGGCGGCGTGGTGGTGAGACTCGTCCGGCGGAGATCCCAACTGAAGGAGCGGCGCTCGTTAGCGAGTGACTAGCCAGGCGCTCGTCTAGCCAGGCGTGGCCGCCTCCGAGTCGCTCGTCCTCCCCACTCTTCCCCTCGCTCTCCAGCTGACCTCTAAAAACTCAATTCTTAACAATCTTTTATTTTACGTGGTAACTCACACTGAGCTAAATAGCTCTTTCAGAAGCGGCCTGGCCACATTTGATAGCTCAACAAAATGGCTTATCATCATGTGGAAATTTATAGCAGCCAAATCCTCGAAACACGTGATGTTGATTCTAAATGTGGAGGGAAAAATTTTGGGGCCCGGAGAAGAATCCACGTGACCTCGGGGAGAGAAACATGCAAACCCCAAATATACAGCAGGCATCAGGGTCGGGATCGGACCCACGACCTCCTGTATAGCCGGCGAGGTAGTTAACATCTTGCCACCTCGCCGCCCTCGCTACCGCTACCTCCTCCCATGATCCCCATACCTCAGTCCTGTGGATTAATTTCTCTCCATTTTCATCGCCCAAACTCTTCCCGCTGTCCTCTCGCTTCTCCATCGCACCCCCTGTTGTTGATACGAGACACCGTATATGCACCGTAATGTTTGCTGTGGTAGTATACTGCTTTGTCAACTTTTTCCCTCTGACTTCCCGGCACCCGCACTGACCTCCTCTTCCCCCGCCTTATCGCTTATGTCTTGTTCTGCCCGTGAGCCGTTCTCTCCCACCCAATGTCCCCCAACTCTCCCCGAACTCTCTCCTAACTCTCCCTGCCTTCTCTCTCCCCCACGCACCCTCTCCCTGCGGACACAGGGCTGAGTGCGCAGTCGCGCCTCAGCCCCACCAGCACTAACAAGGGCTCCGGGGGCAAACGCCTAACAGGTCAGGCCCGAACCCCTCACACCCCCCCCCCCCCCCATTTAGCCCTTCCCCGAGGTCACCCAAGTCAACCTTCCTCTCTTCCTGAGCAGCATGAGATCTGTAATGATCCCCACAACTCCTCGGTGATGGTAACGGTGGGGCGGCTGGTGGGGCAGCTGCTGTTAAACCACGTGACGGTGACGTGGGTGCGTGCGTGAGATGTTCCACCGCCGTCGTCGTCAGCCACGGTCTATCCACTGCTTGACGAAGGCATTCCCCCGAGGCCGTCGCCGCCACTCACTGCCTCGCGACGTCACAATCCACGGAGCGCCTGTGCGCGGAGCCGGTTTTACGGCTCCGTCTCCGTGGTGGACGTGCTCTCGCCGCGCGCGTCCACGGAAGAGCGTCAAGGGCGGGCAGCGGACGCCAGAGATCCGCATCGAGCGCGGTGCCGTCGCCGCCGATGCCACCGCGCCATGTTTATCAGCGGGAGCCGCGTCGGCTGTCGGAAGCCGCGGGTCCGGCACGGGGGAACCGCGTTTGGAGCGCACGGGAGAGGGGGGGTGGTCGTGGTCGTGGCAGCGGCCGCTCCGCCCGTCAGGGCCACCCCGGCCGTGACGGATCCCTCCGGAGATGCGCTCATGTTTATTTGCTCAATAAATGGGAATCGTGCCGCGGTGAATAATTAATTAATCATTCAGGGCGCCCGTGCCCTGCGCTCAGGTGCCCGTACCGAGACGCGCCTTGAATCATTGCGCCAAAAACAGTGGGAGCGACGTGGTGAGGGGGAGAGGGGGAGGGGTGGGTGGCTGCATCGCACGCCGTCAGTTTTACTTGCCCGTCTTTGCTTTATTTATCTCTGCATTCACGCATTAGCGTGTTTATTAAATATCGCGGCGCTTTTGTTGTTTTGTCCACACGCCATTACCCACGCCGCCACGCTTGCCGCGATCCTCAATCACCGTGACAGAAACCGCTTACTGCTCTTCCTCGCCACCGCAGGCGGGCGGGCAGGCGAACAAACGAGTGAGTGGGTCGGTGGACGGGCGATTGGGGGTGGACGAGCGAGTGGGCGGGCGGACGGGCGAGTGCGTGGGACGACACTCGAGAACCATGCCGCTGCCATGACCCCCTTAACCCCCCCACCCTAGCCCCCCCCTCCCGACCCCGGCGCTTTACCGCGCCCACTCCTCACCGTCGTTCTCGTTCCCGAGCGCCCGTCGCTGTGACATCCACGCAGCCTGGGGTTAGCGATCAGGGGTCACGCGATCAGGGGTCACGTCAACTCCAGTGATGATCCGTTTCACAGAGTGCGTGAGTGTGACTGATTGCGGTGAATTTCACTAAAATGTTTATCACCTGGTTTCATCTTGATTTGACCTGTTTTAACTGGACCTCACTTAATCACTTTGTCACCCACTCACTCGCTCAATCTTTTAGGCACTCACCCACTAACGTACTCCTATATGCTCACACTCATCCACTTACTTGTCCACCCACACACTCACTCACTCACCCACACAATCACTCACCACATCCACTCACTTATTCGATCACCCACTCACTCGTTCACAAACTCACTCACTACCCACTCGCTCACTGTGACCCCATCACTCAATCTCCCCGCCCAGCCGTGTGAACACCGATGGGGAAGTAAACAGTGGAGGCGGAGCGCTCGCCGCATGCCGCGTCGTGCTCACGATGAGACGGATCTCAATTTCAGAGCCGGTTTCCTGGGGTTAGCCTCCCGGGGGTCGTCCCTCGCTACAATCGCGCGAGCCAAGTGCCCTCTGCTCCCGGCACCCCCCCCCCCCCCCGCCCCTGTCTTCTCACCCCCCGTACACGCCGCTCTAAATTAATTTAAAGCTGGGCTGAGCTGGGGGATGGGGGGGCTCTGATGACGAGCGGTCGCCACGGCGCCCCCCCCCCCCCTCCGCTCGCCGCGACGTCGTTGGGTACCTGACGACGATCGTCGCGATATCGGCTTCCCGTCATCGTCAGCATCGGCCATGGTCTATCCACTGCTGGATGAAGGCCGCCGTCGCCACTTCTCGCCATCTGGCGATGGAACGATCCACGTGGCGCACGACCGGATCCTGGACGTCCTCTCGGACTCGTTCAGTTCCCCGGCGGCCACTCTATGACGCGTGCTGCCCGATAATTTGGATGCTGTTCCACTACGGTGTCGCCATACCCTGGCGACCCTGGCGACCCCGGTGGCGCTGGTGGCGGAGATTGCCGGGAGGGCTGTGTAATCGACGCCGCGCTCAGCGCTTTGACCGCCCTCTCCTCGCGCCACTCTAATGTTTGTATTTTTTTGATTATTTTACATCAATGACTTGGAAATGCGAGGCGTGGGTGGGAGGGTAGATGGGCTGTGTTTCAAGGCATGGATCGCGGGGGAGTCGCACGCCGAATGAAGAGCGAAGTGAAACGCGTTTGTGGTTTTTTTAGTGTCGCGCGTGGGGATAACGTGAATTTTATGAGGCGTGGCACCTCTAAAATTCACAGGGGGAGGAGGAGCATGGGGGGGCAGTGCCGGGGCTCTGCAAGTTTTATAATCGCTCGCGGCGCCGAGCGATGGAGCTGCCCGCCGCTTGCTGAGGCTGCCCGCCGCTTGCTGGGGCTGCCCGCCACTTGCTGGGGCTGCCCGCCGCTTACTGGGGCTCAGTGTTTCTGTAAACCAGTCCCACGGTGGGCGTTTGGCTCTCCCGTCAACTCCTCGTGGACGTCTTCCAGCAGTGGACTGATCATGGCTCACGATGACGATGATGAAGAGGCGATGCGATCGTGTCCATCCCTGAGATGGAGGGCTGCGTGGCGTGAGCCGGGTGGGGATGGCAACAATTTGAGGAGGCAGCCATCCGGCAGCGGATAGACCATGGCTGATGATGACGATGAAGTTATCATGTGTGCTGCTATCAGTGCCGTATGTCGTCGTGGGATGGAAAGCAGCATAACAACCACCCCCGGTGTTGGTGGACGGCTTTTTAGAAGTTGACAACGCAAAGCTAGTTATGAGGTCCCCTTCAAATGCCTTTTTCTCCAAACCGGGCAGTGCTCCCTTGCCACATGCGCCGCTGTAGAGGTGTCCGTCACGTGACAGTCAAACCGAACACCTGAACGTCTCCAAGCTGGGATCGGATAGCCTGAGTGGCAGACGTTGCCCGGAGAAGAGCGTGCAGCTCTCTTGGGGTAAGAGACACGGCCACCAAGAACGATGACACGTCACTGGCGTGGCAGCCGGCCCTCGGCTGCAGAGTGAGCGGCTCGCAATCGGTTGGCGGTTGATTCGGCCCATAATCCCTCGAGGTCGATAAAATATATACCACTTTGTGGGGAAGGCAACGAGCGGGTGTCCTGTCCTACAGAGACACCCGGCCCTGCCATCGGAATGCAGAATTATCACCGCTGCTGCTTTTTCATGTGGCTGATGTTGCTGTGGAGCAACATCTGTTGAGCTGGTTGATGAGCTGGGGCGGTTCCATCAGGAGTAGCGGAGTGGCGAATCGCTCCTTCGATGGCCACTGGCTGACGGCTGATCACGTGACTTTTGCAACCGAGGTGATGAGGACTCAAGAGAGCAGCAGCACTCTGCGACACAAATACAAAAAATAAGTTACAGCAATGGCATGAAGGGATACGTGAGTGAGAGAAGCGGTGCCCAGATGCCCGCGTGAGAGCGACGCCGCCCGGTACGGCTACCGCGGGAATCCGGGCTGAGCGGTCCGTCCCGGTTTCGCGAGTCGGCGCGCCGGCTCGGTCCTCGGTGGCTGTGGAAACGCGGCACCAGATCCTGTGGGTGGAGCGTGGAGCAGCGCCGCACGCATGTCCGGGCGTGCGCAGGCGCTGTCGACGCCGGCGGCACCTGGGGCGGCGCGGGGGCGCGGCGAGCGAGCGGGGAGAAGGTCGGGCCGGGGGGAGGTGGAGAGGAAGACAAAGGGAATGCGGGGGGGGGGGGGGATTAGAGGGAAGCGTGGGATCAGGAGCGAGGTTATGCGATGCACCATCTGTTAAAACAGACGAGCACTTGATTAAACACTTTGCCAACCAAACCCCAGTTAAACACGGCAGCATGGTGCTGAACTCCTCTGGAACAGGGCATCACTTCTAACCCCATGTTTAATAAGGCCACACGGAGGTAGTTTACTCCTAACCAGGGAATTATTCATAAACCCGTGGTACACACAGTAACACTGCTGTGTGGACCACGCGTTTAGGAATGATCTCCCGGTGTTGCCTGGTCCCCAGCTCCCAGCACCAGGAAACACCGGGAGATGTGGCGTGGCCATCCGAGGCTCTGTACACGGAGGTCGTTGTGGCGAGCGAGCGAGCGGGCGGGCGGGCGGGTGGGTGAGTGGGTGAGTGGGTGAGGTCAGTGGGTGAGTGGGTGAGGTCAGTGGGCGAGTGTGCAGCCGTGGCGGTGGAATCTTGGCATTCCGCCGAGTGACCGGTATTCATCTGTTACGGCAGAGATATCGCACGCCCGTTTATGACTCGACAACAAGAGCTGAGCCGTGCTCCCGTCCACGCGCGTGTGTGCGTGTGTGCGTGTGTGCGTGTGTATATTTTTTTGCTAAAGAAGCAAAAATCGATGCCTTGATTTAGGCGTCACGGTGGTGGGTAGAGCCAGCACGCCGCGGTCTCGTTAGGGGCTTCTCTGGCGGCGTGCATGTGACTATGAGGGTGAATGTGTGCGTGTGACTATGAGGGTGAATGTGTGCATGTGAATATGAGGGTGAATGTGTGCGTGTATGCGTGTGCGGTTGAGAGGCAAGGCTATTGCTCCCAAGTTGTATCCATGCCCCAACTCTCGTGCTCTTGAACATGCGTGGAAAAACAAATGCTGGCTCTTTAGACCGAAGCCTGTTGCCATGGTGATCACCTGTGCTGTTTATGATTGGTTATCACAAAACCAATGATAATAAAGACGATGGCAATCATGGTCACAACATTGCCATGGTGGATGCAAAATGACTTTGGCAATGCACCATGACTTTGTCCGTCTCTGTACGTTCATCACGTTGTGTGCACGCCCTGTACGGGATCGTGACCTCCTGACCCCTGACTCCTCCCTGTCCCCTCACTACCCCACCACCCCCGCCCCCACAGTGGCGGCGTTCACCCGCGCCCCCGCGGCGCCGGTCCCAGAGCAGCGGGCGCAGCACACGGTGCGGGTTGCCGGGATCGTGGCCGGGGCGGTGCTCACCGTAGCGCTGCTGCTAGTGCTGGTGCTCTTCCTCAAGCGCAGGTGCGGTGACGGTGCCACCACAACGTGGTCACACCCCGCGATGCCACACACACACACTGTGGCACATCACGATCAACCACAGATCGCGTAACACCACGACACACTCCACCCTCAGATCGCGCACACCGCATTCACACATGCCAAACGCACCGTACTACTGCGACCGCACGCAGCGATCTTGCTCACGCCAACACCGCGCTCGGCGCATTCGGCCAACGCACCACGGCACTCACCACATCGCTCACCACACGGCACTCATGGAGCATCTCCCGTCGGTAACCGCGGGGGCAGGCTTATCACGAGGGGCACGCAAACGCACGTGGCGACACAGCCCTAGATAGCTCGCCACACGTCGCCACGGACACACACACTCATACACACATGCACACACGCATGCATCAATATGCATGCATTTAAATGTGCGCGTTCGGCTCACCGGCACAAAGGTGGTTAGCATTTCCTTCATTTAAACCGTGTTTACTTTTAATTTATGGAGCCGCCGCGGCCTTAAGTGGCGTTTGACAGCACCAGCACCGACGGCCCAAGCGCGGTGGCTCCGTGGCGCTAGCACCACGCGGGCGCCGTGGTAAAGGTTAAACCGCAGAGCGCCGGCGTGAAGGACATGTGCATGTTTGTGTGCGTGCGTGCGTATGATCTCCATGAGTTGATGCTTTCCTATAATACATCCTCACCCTCCATCCTCCTCCTCCATCCATCTTCATCCTCCACTATCGCCCTCCATCCTCCGCCATCACCATCCATCCTACTCCATCAAAACTAATTTTTTTAGAACGTCTTTTGGTGTTCTTCCCCGCACCTCCAATTAGCACGATTGGCTACGTACGGTGCAAAAGAAGTTCAGCACATATACGTATATTGCCCTCCATCTGCCTGCACCAGCATCCATCTTTCCCCATCGCCCCCCCCCCACCGCTTGATCATCTCATGGGCTCGTGCCATCCTCTCTACAATGGTGGTCGTAGGTCAAAGTGCGTGGGTTCAAGTGGGTCCCGAGTGGCCCACAGACGGATCAGGGGCCATTTTCGTGGAGTTGTTCCTCTCTTGGGTAGTGAAGGCCCCCACGTGGAGTTGGGGCAGAGGGGCCCAGCAGTGGAACTCCTGATAGCCTGTACTCTTCTGTGAATCATACCGTCGTCCTTCCGGATAGCCGTGCGCTGTAAGAATGGCGCAAGTACCAGATGTAGTCATCCTTGGTTGATAGGCATGAGGACGCAGTGCAGCAGAGGGCCGTATTTGTGGTTCAGGTCACAGTTGCAGAGCTTCGTCCGACCCTCGGCCACTGATGATGAATCCAAGTCTTGGAGAACCAGAGTGAGGTCTCGTAGGTTACCCGACCTGAACACGGTTGAGATGGTGCAACGTGGATTGGACCGCTGGTTTCAGGAAGGGTGCTGCTTGTTATTTTTGTAGTAACGTGTTTTTAAAATAGAAATTTAGCGCAAGGCTTATCTCACTGTTTCACCACATTGTTCACGCTATGAGCGGACGCCCCACTAAGCAAGTAGCCATCATCGCGAGGCGCTGCGTGCGACATGCGCCCAATGTTAACAGCGCGACGCCACCACCGCTGTGCGGTTCCGCGACGCTGCTCCATGGCTCGGCTGTCTCTCCTGGCCCCCCTCCGCGCCCCCTCCCCCCCCCCCCCCCATTTCCTCCATCTCGATAACAATCCAACTCTACAACCACGCCCTAAAGCATCGCATTTCACTTTCATGTCGGCTAAATAAATTTTATTTTTAAAATTCATAAATTGCCATCGCAGAGGGCTCTGGAGGGATGGAGAGTCGCGATGTGCGTGAGAGTTGTGCCCGTGCCCTGCTCATTCTCTCTGTTTGTTTCGCCCCGTGCGCTCACTCCTCTGCTGCCCCCCACCTCATGTGTCACGCCAGGAGGACCGCGTACTCGTATGCGCATTACCTGTAAGTACCTGCGCCAGTTTACCGCTGCCACCCCCGCCTCACACCATCGCTCCCATCTCTTCACCGCCACCCACACCGCATCCCAGCGTCTCCGTGCACCCACCCGCCCACCCGCCCACCCGCCCATCCGCCCGCCCGCCTGCTAGCACGCCCGCCCATCCATCCACTTGCTTGCTCACTGGCTCCCACACGAGCACGGCATGCATTTGTACGACTGCTCGTATTTGGCCAGATCCATGCCAGATCCCACAACCGAACTCAAACGGAACTTAACCACAGTGAACCGCACCGAATTGGGCTGCGCCGGTCCCATCCTGTGCCGTGCTGCGCCCCCCTTCAACCCACTCTCCCATCCCTCACACCCCCCACTCCCGTAGCCCCATCCCAGCACAATGTCTCGTGTCGCTACTGCCAGGTGAGGTTACTGCAGGCTACGGAGCCAGATTGAGCTGTTGATGAAAAGGCGGAAACGCATACCCCCCAAAGATACCGTGGAGATGAGGAACTCTCGGCAACACCGTCATGGGGCCCGGCAGCTTGGTTTGTTTTCCGCTGCCGTTGGCTTTTGTGGTTGTTCCGCGCGTTTCCCCGATGCACCGTCGGCACCCTCGCAGGGCAGCGCCATCATCGCCCTGAACTAGAGAATGGCCCACAGAAGCAGATGCCGTCGAACTAGTTCTAGGTGAACACGGGGCTGAGACGCTCGCCTCGTCGTACGGTGCAGTGCTCGCACCGGCTCGGCGTGGGGGTCAGGTGAGGGGTGAGGTACGTTACGGGGCACGCGTCTCGCATCTGCCTTGACCTCGTGACCTCTATACTAGTCGCTGGGTCAGCTCATCCCCTACGCGAGTCTCCTGAGTCCTCGGCTTCTGCTTGAGATTAACCACTCTGCCGGAGCGAGGCAGGCGACGACGGCACCGAGCAGCCCCCGGCTGGCACTGTGCCAGGGCCATTTCCAGGAGTCGTGGAAATGGGGTGGCACTTCACTCTCTCACTCGCTCACTCCCTCGCTCGCTCTCTTGCTCGCTCGCTCACTCACTCATTCACCTGCCATGCCCCTTTCTCTCATGTCATTCCATTCCCGTCACGGTGTTTGTTTGAGATGAACCTCGCAGCCCAAGAACGACTCTCTCACTCTCCTCCCACCCCGACTCCTCCACCCAACACCCCCCCCCCCCCCCCCACCGCTCACCGGGCTTATTGAGGGTGGATTGGGGCGATGGTGGCGCCTCCTGGGAAACTCGGGCTAATCCGCCACAGCCCGTTATCTCTCTCCACGGCGCGAGAGGTCGGTGCCAACCCTCGCCGCCACGAACCTGCAGCAATCGCGGGGGGAGCCGGGGGGGCTCTCCAACGAAGCCACCCATCGCCGCTAATCACACAAAAGATCAAACAGCACAAGAGGTGGCCCAGCGGCCGAGCGGGCGGCTCCCAATCATCAAGTCGTGAGTTCAACTCCTGGTTGGGGGTTGACCCGGCCCATCACCCATCCAGGGTCGAGAAAATGATTACCACTTTGTGGGGAGGTCAACAGTGGTTGCACTATAGAAAGACCTTCCCCTGCCAACGATACGGGGAATTTCCAGGAGACTAGCACTAGCTCGGTGCTCACTGGAGCAGCAGAAGCTCACTTTGACCTTTGACGAGACAAGGAAGAGCGACGCCGAGGTGAGTGGAATGGGGGTTTCGAGCAGTGGGATCAGGCGAGTGCAGAGGAGCGCCTGGTTGTAAGCCAGGGGCGCAGAGAGGGGGGACGGGGAGGAGAGGGAGTGACGGGTGGCAGCTACCTAGCAGCAGCGGGGTGAGAGGGGTTGCGAGGGTCACACCGACCCCAACCGCAAACTACCCGGTGGGGAGCGGCAGTGGCGGTGGTAACGAAGCCGCCGCCCGCCGCTCCCCCGTCGCGCACGGCGCGTGCTCTCCTAGCGCTCCGGTTTACTGCAATATGTGTAATACAAGCATTACTTGGCTTGAAACATCTTCATGTATAGAGGACGGCCAAGCTTGAGCAATTGTTGGTAGCACCAGCTCGTCACCACTGCGCGGCTACTGCTGCCACCGCCTTCCTCACTTGTCTGTGGTTCCTCCTCCTGGCGGCCCGTCTGAGCCGTCTCCTCTCTCCGCGAGCGAGCGACTCCTGTGTGGCTCCCCGGCACAAGTCTAATTTATCTTCATTATTATTCAGCCGGTGTTCAGCCCCTCCATCGTTTCAAGTTGCATCGCAAAACCTGCTTTGAGAATTCTGCGAAGCGGCGCGAGTACTGGGCGCCCCACAAGTCAACGGATTTTTTTCGCAAAGCCGGGGACCGTGTTTATCGACTCTCTCGCCAGTGAAACAGCGTTTGCTGAGAGTGCCCCGAGGCGCCGTGTTTATTTGGGGAGCCCACCGGTGCGGAGAAGCACGGTGTGACATTTGTCCGCTCAGCCTGGCAGCTGGAGCCCCAGAGCCCCGGCACATGCACAGACACCGCACGTGGCACGCACGCCGCACGGGGAGAGAGATGGGTGAGGGGGGTGGGGAGAGCGAGGGGGGGGAGAGGGATGTGTGAGCAATGGCGAGGGCACACTCCTCCCCAGTGGTCTTTGTTCTCTGCTTGCTGACGTTGTCAGGTTTCCTCAAAGAGGCCCACCTTTAATGATATCTCTTATTCAACCTGCTAAATAAAATATTAAATAAACGGTACAAAAAATACATTTAGGACGATAACTAATTGAAGCGGTGCTTTTTTTCATTAAAATTCCACTCCAGGGCTTCATTTCCACATCGCCGGCCAAAGGAAGGGCCCGAGTCGCGCCTCGCTCGTTTGGGAGCTTTCCTCTTTTATTTACCTTCAAACGAGAAGAAAAAAAAATAATAACGGAACGTTTCCAAGCAGGGCCGTCTTCAAAACGACTTAAACGCCGCCGTCAAACCCGGTGTCGCTGACCGATTGCCTGCCGCGCTCCCCGCGCCACAGTCCACGCGTCGCGCTCACAATTTCATTAGGGTGCGTTTTTACCACGTGGAAGCCGTCTCTTTAGATCAGACCTTCCTGAAACCTCGGGGTGGGGGGTGAGGGA